ATGCAAAGTTGTAAAAGTCAGCACAATTTCAATGTCTCGCTCTTTTTTCATTCTTCATACAACTTGTCCATTACATGCCGTGTGTGCAAGCAAGTGCAACACCACAAATGCCTTTAAGGAGAGAAAGTGTGTGGTGTTATCCCCAGTTGAACCCTTTTTTATGTAGACAGGCTTTTCAGATCCTGAAATTTCTGAAATTAAGGCCATTAGCTTGGCACAGGTAATGGAGGTAGGGAGAAGAAGGTTACACACGTCGAGAGATGGAAAATGCACCTTCCAGCAACGCCATATTTCTCTTATTCACAAGTTATGTGCTCTTAGCCGGTTAGCTAGTCACTCATAAGTCTATATTCAGGCATTACCAGGGTCTGAGTGAGGACTTTTGTTGTAATAAATAACAATTGTCATGTAATCTGCCCAACTTGGGTCTTGAATAAGAACGAAGATAAGCAGCTACAGGAACCTCAGTTTTGTTTGATGTACAGATTGTTCGTTATGCTACTGTTTAAGGAGAAGAAATGTGAGAAAGACAAGAAATGGAGACATGCAGAGAAGTGAGATAACTTTTGTTATGAATTGGCGCAATACAAATAAAATTGAAATTGAATTGAAGTGAGCCCAGACAGGAAAGGAGGATGTTTGGGGGGCAGAACAATAGACACAAAAATGCACAGGAATCCAGCTCATCTCAGAGGAGCACATGAATGCACAAAAAGCAAAACAGAGTTGTTTGTTTTCAAATGGCCACCGTCAAAGGAGGCACAAGGGAGGTGCAAGGCTCTGCTCTGCTGGGACATAGAAACAGATGATTGTTTACAGCAAGGATGCTACTGTTGTCTTTGTTGTTTCCCTTTAATTCACTTGTTCGTGCTTAGAAAATAACATTTGCTCTGAAGCATCCGGGAAAATTACCTTGGGAAAACATGTTTTTTTTCTGCCTTTCCCTCTGACGCTATGGTGAAGATGTGGAAAGATAAGGCATACCTATCTGCTATATAATTTGTTACAGTCCCTCTTTCTCTCATTTTACTCTCCCTACCTGGCTGCCTGGCTGTCTTTGTTTGTCTGGCTGTTTCTTTCCCTCCCTTTCTCTCTGCTATCTTTTAACCACCTTGTCCTGACAATACCCTCATGTCAGAACAGATATGCAGGTCCTGGTGTGTGTAATCAAAGGGCGAAAAGGGTTTGTTTCTCTGTATGGGTGTGACAGAGAGGAAGAGAGAGAGAAAATGATGAAAAAAAAACATCCAAAAACTACATAGGATTTATTCTCCCTAGGAATGTTTTATTTATCTGCTTTATTTTCCCTCCTCAAATCTATTTTTTGTTGCTTGCCTCTGCTTTTACGTTTGAGTGTCTGCTCTACTTCCTGCTCTGATCACTGTTACAGCTGTGTGCAAATAAATTGGGGGTTTCATTAAGAAACCGGCAATTAACCAAGTTCATTCTTCAAAAGTCTCACTGGCAAAAACACTTTACTTAATATCAGCCCTATGCTGATGCATCCTCTGAGGTTGTCTGGTAATTTTGCGTGTATGTCTGCGAGTGTGTGAGTCACTCACCACATAAAGGCCAGAGTGCACCTGTCTGGAAGGAAGATAGTGATTCTAAAGAAAACATATTTTATCGCCCTCTTGAACGAGTGCATTTCAGGGCTGATAGGGGAGATGGGAGGGCATGGTGTCACGATAAAAAGCATGGTGAGAACTGAAAGCGAGTGCACATAAATACACATACGCGCCTACAAAAAATACCCACACACGCACACAAAATATAGACTGACACACAAATACCCCCTCATTAACACACAAACACACAGGAGATAATAAATCTTGGAACAGGTTTGCAATTGCACATGCCAACACGGCTAACATCTGCAGAGCTACACAACCTTTAAAGGCTACAGACAGTTGTCTGCACTAACTCTACAACAGACAGGGCACGACCAAGAGTGACCCTCTCAGTACGGACACAGAAAATACTGCATGCCGACACGGAACCTCTTAAAAAAGAAAAAACAAGAGAAATCATAGGTTTATGATTTGTTGAATCTTAATAAAAGGAAAATACGTTGCACAATATAAAGTTCACAAAATATAAATACCTTAACGCTGCAAATAAATGCTATATTTCAAGTTAGACAGTGAGTGGGAATTTATCTTTGCAACTTTTTGATCTACTCATCCCACTCCTACGCACCTGTCTCATGAAAAAGATGTGCGTTTTTTTTTTGTCAGAATAAAAAATTATTATTAATAATAATTAGAAAATTTAATAAATTCAGATAAAAGTTGCACTGGTAAGGGGTGGAGGTAATAAAGATTGAAGTGTTTACTCTTTGATTAGCCTTCTTGGTTTGACCAAGCAGTTCCTCATGATCCTGAAATGAAGTTGCTTAATATCAAATCACATATGTCTGAGTTAGTTTAACTAACTATAAAAGTCTAACATGAAAAAGATGTCTGCGTTTTTACTCAGAGCCAGTTTGAGCTACAGAATAGTTGCAGACAGCAAATGATCTTGAAATGGATCACACCAAGGTAAGCAACCTAGAAACAAAATACACACACGATAATGTGAAGTGCTTCATCAAAGGAAGACAAAGGTACGTATATGTGCATATAATAATTCAAACGTTGGCGTTGTGGTTTTTAGTTAAATGTCTTGACTTTTTCTCTTTGGTTATTTTCTTCGTGCTCATTAGTTTTAGGAGTTACACCTGAGTGGATTGGGTCATTAGCTGCACCTGTGGTCTGTACGCTGGGTATGTCTTGCTGAGTCTTAACTTTTATTTTGTATATTATTATCAGGACAAGATGCTTTGTTCTCCTCCATGTTCTCTTGCAGCTTAGATAAAATAAATATATTTATAAGAATACATAAACTTCATTTATATATAATTATAAACTTTATTTATGCAGCACTTTTCTTAATAAGGTCACTAAGTGCTTCACAGAAAACACAACACAGATTAATAAAGCAAATAAAAACAACACAAGGGTCATAAAACATTGGGGGATAGAATAAAGTTAAAAAATGTTAAATGGCAGGAGTAGAATGATAAAACCCAGTTACTTACACTTAAGAATTAATTAATTCCTTCATATTAAAGAAAGTTTTAAGAGATGATTTAAAAGATTCTCATAACTGTCTGATTTCAAAACACAGAGAGTTCCACCTTTGGTCAGAAAAAACAGGATCTACAGGAACAACCATCAGAGATGCATCCACCGCTCTCAGAGAATCCCCCGTCAAGAAGGAAGTCAATAAAAATGTTATGTCATTTGGAGCGAGGCCATTTAAAGCTTAAAAGTGATTAGTAAAATGTTTGATGTACGGCAAATACTGTAATGGTAATAAAAGGCACAAAGCGGGAAGCTTACAGGCTACCTGCGATGATCTCTAACAGAGGAGTCATGGGGTTCAAGCTGTTCGACATACACATGCATGCACACAAATATACACTTAGCTTTACCATGACACTCAATAGCAAGCCAGAGATATCGAGAACAGGAAAGCATTCCCATCTGAACAGAGCTAAAAGGATAGTCAGTTACCAGTGTTTAGGAAGCAACCAACCAAAGGACTATTATTCAGCCATGCATTTAACGCTCCTTTACTATCCATCCTTTAACAAGCATTGACTTCCAAATGGGACACGCATTGACTTCAGAGAGGACTGTTTCTGAGAAGTGTGGCCTCGGAGGAGGACATGTATCGACTTCAAAGGACACATGCTTTGAAACACATTAGATTCAAATGGGGTAGATTCAATACAGAAACTTCAAATGAGTCATCCTTCATAGTTTATTGACTTCAAACAGAGAGAGGGAGGTTAACAGCAATATACCCAGTTACTGATATGCGACACAAGGGTGGGACACCTGCTGTTGCTGAAAGGAATGGTGAAAAAATAAAACTTGAACCACATTTATACCTATTTGATTTAAAGAGTAGAATGACAGACTCAGATGGAGAGCTACTTTTGGGACCTTTCATCATAAAGGATTGCTTTCTTTCCAAGGCCTTGTGTCCAAAAAAGAATGTTTTCTGTATCAAGTTAATGTTCGGCAGATATTTGGATTGTATTTCGCCAAGGGTGCACATAATTGCAAAAAAACAACAACAAAAAACTAATTAAACAGAAGTTGGTTTTCCAGGCAAATGTTAAAGATCAAGGTGCTTAACAGCTTGTTAAGAGAATCAAGTTATTTCGTATTTTCAATCCTTAAATTTAGATAGCCAGTGGGTGATTTATTTTATTAATTTAATAACAAATTAAGTAAGTCTGGTAAATAATTACATAAGTGTTCGTATTACAGGCTGAGTATAACAGTGGATGCTTAGGAAAAACATACCATTTATAAAACCTTCATCCAAGAAAAAATTAAGCAAAAGCAATACTAAACCCAAACATTCTAGTTATCAACATAGTTATTATTACTCTCTGTCTGTACTGCTTTAGTTCCATTAGGACTAGACACATCTGCAGAGGACTGTAAACTGTGTAACTGTAACACTTGTCTTATTCTCATTTAAGTTGTCAATCAAACAGAAACACACAGGCAAACACACACACAGAAGAGCACATGCACTGCGCACAGATATACACTCACTCACACAGATACACAAATACACATGCAAAATCAAAGTACAAAGAAACACACATGCCTCACAACTCTCTGTAGACTGTGAAGAGATCAATGGACATGTTGACAGACAACACAGAGCAGTGATAACGGGGCACATTTCCATTTCTCTGAGTGTGTGTAATGTGCATCCATCCTTAAAGGAGCATTTCACCCGTGGAAACATTAATATTTATTGAAAGTGGGTTATATATGTAGTCGAAATGTAACATACATTTTGAATTTGGTGCCTATTTGACCGAGAAAAGACAGAAAGTGACTTTAGGGCACATTTGTATTAAAGACAACAACTCCCACAATGCACAGCTCCGCAAGCCGCTCCCACTAACACTATTAAGGACTACAACAACGTGAATGTAAACCATTTATTTACAGAAATATATCAACAACAACAAAAATAAATATGTTAACAATGACAGTTATAGTTCCTCCTGAGCGTCCTCAACTTCTTGGTGCCCGCAGTACTGGCCATCTGGAGCTGGATATTTCTGTCGGATAACCTGCACCACATAAGCGGGTAAAACGACAGGATGGCCTCGATCCAATCTCTCGCCTTGCAGGACCCATTCCAGAAAGGCTGTTAGGCGATATTGTCTACAAGTCATTGAGCACACAGTTAGCGATGCATGGTCTTTGTGTTCAGCGTGCCACAGTAGTTAGCAATGCAACTGCAAGCTGTTTGTGCAGTAAAGAAGCTAGTTCAGTTGGCTGATGTTACGTATTAACCGGGAATAACTTTGTGATAATGCTTGAACTAATTGTGTACATACATGCCACGTTGTTATAAGACAGAAAATAGAAACACTCACTTTACAGTCAGACGTCCGCCCCCCAGCTCGAGCCAGTCCGGGCTCCTCGTCTGCGACAGGCAGGTCCTCTGCCTCGGCTGCAGAAGCCTCAGCCGCCTCCTGTTCAGCCTCAGCTGCTCTTCGCTATATTGCGGCTCATAAAGGTAGCCACGAACATCTGATTCGACCATCATACTTTCGAAATTTCTTCCATATTACATTGATTACCATAGTCGTAACGTCTGGCTCGACAGCGCCTCCGCTTAGCTTCCAAACAAGATGGCGGTTATATTTTTTAGTTTCTGCAAGTGAAGTTCCACCCACTGATCTGTAATAGGTCTGTAGCGTGAGTGAAAAAAAAAAAAGAGGAAGTAGTGTTTGTAGTCTCACCCCCTCTACAGAGATATGAGACTTCCTGCTTCCAATGACACAAAATGACGATTTCTACATCATTGGAAGCAGGAAGTGCAACACTAAAATCCTTATTTCTCCCCTCTCAGGGAAAGTGAGAGAATGATGCACGACCATTCAAAGATATGACTGGGTTTCTAATGATACAAAGCTTAATGCAAATGGCTGAAGTGTCCCTTTAAACCTAATATACACAGAAAACCACAATGTATTCATAGATAAATAAAAGGGTCAGAGCCCTCGGATCATGCCCTCCCCTTCCCTCAAAACTCACATGATACCTTCAGCCCTCTTGTCTCCTTTCTTTCTCTTCCCTCCCTCATCTTTTCCTTCATTCACACACTCTCCCTCGGCCCCTTGCCTCTCTCTCCAGTACAGTAAATCTCCTCTCTCCTGTCTCCAGGCTGTGAGGTTCGTTGGAGAAGCAGATAGTCAGTGACACTCCCAGCGAAACGGCCGGCCCGATACTGGCTCCAGCCCTCCCTGGGGGATAAGAACCTGACTGAAAAAACAAAAGCATGCACACAATGTCACACATACACTTTGGATTTCTTATAAGGATTGTCATTGACTGGCAGAACCCTTTTTTTTTACACAGTATATACCTAAACCTTCACTCCTGTATAAACCTATACAAACATATATAAACCTATATAAACTATATTCCCAAACCAAAGTTCTTACTACACAGGAGGAAATTGAACATACGTAATGCAGTACTAAATGGAATAAGTATATATATTACTAGATCCCATATAACGAGAACATAAACTCAAAGAAGATAAAGACAAGAGAGTCTGTAGCCATGCATGCCAGCAGCTCTGTGAGGCTGCATTGCAGTGCTTTTAGCTAAATGCTAACGTCATGCTAACATCCTCCTCACAATGACAATGTTAACATGCTGATTTTTAGCAGGTGTAGTGCTCAGCATGTTCACCATCTCAGTTTAGCATGTTAGCATGCTAACATTTTTAGCACTAAAAATAATTAGTACTAAAAAGTACAGCTGAGGCTGATGGGAATGTAATCAGGATTGTAGGTATTCGTTTTTTATTGATCGATGATTGTTTTGGATGAAAAATGAAGGGATCACCACGTACCATCATTACAATTCATCCTGAGGGGAACATTAATATGTGTACTAAATGTCATGACAGTTGTCAAGACATTTTTTTATTTAAAAACACAAATGTCAATCTAGATCAAATCAGGTAATCAGGTCATAAAAGTAAGATTCATGAAAGTCTGTACACAATTCCATAGCAATCCATTCAATATTTGTATATATATTTCATCCTGAACCAAAGTTGCCAACAAACACTGTCATCTTAACCTGGGCTGGTAGCGTGGCTAAAAATATGCACATATAATATGCACTTGCACAAACACTCAAACATGTATTGACACCCCCTGCAACACACTCAAGCAATAAGGGCGTGGCTCTCTGTTGGTACTGTCTGTCCGGGGGCCTCGTGTTCACTGAGTTGTGTTGCTACATAGCTTCTCTAAATGGGATGTGACAGATGTGGGGTCACTGCCTTCATTTATAACACAGGCACCAAAAGGAGAACAAAAATCATGCTGCAATTACTGTCACTTCATGGCTGAGCTAGATGTATGCTAACCACAGGCTAGCCTTAGGTAGCCCTAAATGCAATGATGATTCACTGACTTTGAGCCTGTACAGGGACAGGAAGAAGGCTGTTTGTGTGTGTGTGTGTGTGTGTGTGTGTGTGTGTGTGTGTGTGTGTGTGTTTTGACTAGTGGGTGTGTAGGCTGATGCCATGCCAGAGGGACAAAAACATTACCAGTGGGCATTTAGAAGGACGCCATCAGAACCTGAATGAGAGAGAGAATGCTCTGTCCACTTCAGCATACATGTTATTCTTTGTATGCGCACACCCTCATGTGTGTTTGTGTTTGTGCGAGTTCATCGATGGCTTAAATGAAAATAAAGTGAGAAGTGAGAGGCTGTTTTCAGGCGATTAGTCTGACCCCCAGTATTAGCTCTTTATTTCCCTGGGTAGCTAAACATATTAGACCATCCTCTAGCCCTCGAGCTGTACACGCACATACACACACTAACACTGTCATACTCAAACACACCAACAGACATCAAGGTATGCTGAAAAACATAAATGTGGCAGGTCTGAGAAGTAAAAAAAAAAAAATTCCTTGGAGAGATAAATAAAAGTCAGATACATTCTAAATTGGATTCTTAAGGTTATCAGCTTGCAGGGTAACTCATCTGCAAAAAAAAAAAAAAGAAAAAAAAAAAGTTGTAAGCCCTCGAATTCTAATGCCCTTCACTTCACCACGGAAATCCGGCATTTTAATCCCAGATCGGCTAAATCCAGTCGTCTGGAACAAATAGCATGGGAAGGCTGACAAGGAGACGGTAGAAAATGTCAGGAAATCCATAGGAATTCTATATGCTTGTAGTAAGCCTTGATGGGAACTGCCGATTAACACTGCACACATAAAATACAGCAGATGTCGTGACAGTATGAGTGGCACTTGGATTAAAGAAGATATATAGTGTAAGGAGTTATTCTTATTCTTACTCGACCAACTTAGAAGTAAAAAGATGGAGGGTATTGAGAGGGCTGGTGAAGTCCCAAATGCATAATTCGCCTCCTTGAGCCTCACCTGTTCTCTGCGGCTGAAATTTATCTCACAGCTAATGCAGGGGGGAGGGGGGATAATATTAGGAACGCTTGAGCTGAGGGTTTTATCTTAAGGTCAGGTTTTACATATCATATCCACACACACAAGAATTATGCAAACACAGTTGTTCAGAGTTGTTGAGAGTTAAACACACAAATACCATATGTGTGAAAGTTGGGTATTCCTCTGCAGTCCTCTTCATGTGCGCACACATACGTGCCTCGGACTTGCAAGCACTCGCATACACATACGCTGTTAGTGACAGCACCTATCTGCCACCCACAGTAAGTGACCGGGGTTAAATATGTAATGACTGCTTGTCCCACACTCAGGATTAATGGGCTGTGGAGAGAGGAGATAAAGGCACATCATTACCACACAGACACACACACACACACACACACACACACACACAGACACTCACACTAACACACACCTACATATAATGATAAGAAACATCATTAAGAGCGGTGGAATCTTGTGTGGTGTGGTTGAGCTTTGCTAAAAGAACCATTAGGATATTTTACAATTCTAAGTAGATATTTTGTTTTTAGCAGACTGCTATACAGCTGGTGTGGCAACAAAGTAAACAATAACCACTGATTTTCAGGAATATTGCATGATCAAATTATAGAAAATGTATTGAAAGGGTAATTTCCTATGCTAAGAAAGTTTCCCAGGGGGAAAGACGGAAATATATGTTACAAACAACTAATTTCTATCAGCATAAAAAAAAGTCATATTATGGTAAATTGCATATCTGTTGGCATAATTCAGAATACATGCAATAGTAAGAATGAAATGCAAATTACCTCCCTCAGTTTGTCCAATCCACCCACTTCCTCCCCTCCCTTTCCTAATATGCCACATCACACATACAGTATTTGTCTAACTGTGTAACCGTTTCAAACAAGAGGGTTGTTCAGAGAGGTGAAAATATAAAACTGCTGCCAGCACTGCGGCTGATAGTATTAGCTTTTGGAGGATTATGTATTACATTAGATATTACTGATTAAATGTTTAATCAACAAAGTTATTATCTTAAATCTTCAACCTCAGCAACATAATCAACCCAAAATGAGAAATGGGACCCACAGAAGTTGTTCATCCAGTCAACTGTAGGGAGGTTTAATGATGATGTTTATAGTGCAGCATACTTTAAATTAAGTCCGTCATGGCCTTTTTCAGAAGTTTAGTAAAAACTATTATATAATGTGAAGAAAGCAGTGTGGTCAGCCTAGCTGTTTAACATTTGCAGACACACAGTTTGGAATTATCAAAGACATGCATGCATGCCCCATATCATATTAATACATTGACTTGAATTATTTTGAATCATTCCCCTGCCTTTCATCTAATTTTCTTAAATGCTTTTTGTCATTTTGTATTGTAGCTTTGTGTTTCATATCCCAATGAAACAGTCCATTTCAACTCCTACTCTTATCTTAAATCTTTGATCTGCAGTACATAGTCCTTACATTATGCATAATGTATGTACATGAACATGAACACATATGTACAGTGTGTACACTATGCACACACATTTAAACACTTTTTCCTCAGCTTGCTGAATGCTTATTCATTTGTCCCTGTAGATGTGGTGTGTGCATAATCTCTTTTAATAATACATAACAGAAATAAAGCTACTTATTCCATTATTAACACTTTGGAGCTGAGGGACACCCATGGTTTATTCTACATTATAAGCTGATATGCTGCATGGTCACACACACTTACCGACGGACAGGCTTGTTGCATATTGATGAAATGCATATTCACAAACACTGATATGATTGCTGATATGCACAAAGAACATGGCCATGACTGAGGGAGAGGTCTTTGATTTCAGCTGAGCGGCTGTAAATCATTCAGGAGATGACGATGATGGTTGTCTCCTTGTACAACACCTTCTGATCATAAAGAGTGTGAGAGAGAACAAGTGGGGGAGATTGTCTTGTTAGTAAATGCAAAGAGATGGCTGCAGCTCTGAGACTATTCAAAGGAGGACCTGTGTGTAGCCTTTCCGGAAAAATCCATTGATTTATTAAACCAGCCCAATTAACGATGGAATACTTTCACAAATATTAGTTTTTCATCATGGAATTATAAAAATTGTCAATGATAAATTATGAAATGGGCCATTATTTACATCTGAATGCTGTCCTTATTCCTAAGCTCTCATAGCAGAGGAGAGACCATTCTAACATAATGATTTATCTTTGGTTCATGATCAAACAATCAGCTGAGTCTGTTTAAAAAGTGCTAAAGTGAGCCAAAAAGAGAAAGTGAAAATGAGCAGAAAACCTTTTAGTGCTTGAGACTTTCATCACTGCAAAAAGATTCATGGTTTCATTAGATTTAAAGAAAATCCTGAGTGTGATAACATTTTTGATCTCAGCTACTTGAGTGTTTTCTGGAGCTTTGTAATGGGAGCTCACATATCAGTGCTTTAGATGAATGTCAGATTTAGCAACCAGAAATTAAGCAGCAACTGTTTATTTATCCAAGAAAATGTGCAAACAATGTGTCTATGATTACAGATAGTTGCTGCTGTCTTCCCCCGGATTAAGCTCCACTGTAGCAACAATCGTCAATAGACCTTCCACACATATTTAAACCAATTGATAATCTATTGGCTTTCTGTGCCTGGACCCAGGCTATAGTGAAAGAGTAGTAAAAAGCCAGCAAATGTATAGGGTGTGTCTATATTGCACTTAAAGCAATACTATGTACGATTTGGTATTCGTTGTGACTTGGCACCTTCAGTTTCGGAGTGTAATACCACAGTTGTAAATATGCACAGCTGTACATGTGGATTTGTTACGATTACATTACTCATGACCAAAAACTACCCAGTCAACAATATCAAGCAAGTGGAACAGCAAATATTACTTGCTAAGTCAAACAGCACGAAGGCCAGCCAACCCGCCCCTCCAAAGCTCCTGTGCTACCAGTGTAAATACAGACACTCCCCCAGTCCCAGGGGTCCAGGGCAGTACGGTTGAGTTAGCTGGCTAACAGCAGTTACATTTCTTTACTGTCCATGAGGAAACTCTGTAAATGAAAGGGAAGCAACTGGAGGACATCAAAAGGGAAAACCAGAAAACATTTTCTCCATAAAATATGATCCAGTATCACCAAAATCAGTGACATAGTCGGTGATGTTCGACTTTGCTCTGTTACCCGCAGACAAATTAAGACAAGAACAGGCGTATGGGGAGCAGAGTGGGAATGACAGAGGGAGAACGTGCACCCAAATTATTTTAAAACTGTTTAAGGTAGAAAAGTTGGGGCCTTAAACCATGTCAACTGTCTTGCAGTTTGTGAAATGATTAAACAAAACTCTCAAGCACATTGCCAGAAGTTGATAGTGAAGCTCAGTCCTCTATATGACATTATAATGTGAACCTGCTGTGCAAAAAATGAATTGAAACTAGATGTTAGCCACAAGTAGCCATTTTTTTTTTCTACCACCCAGAGGGACACTAAACAGGACAGCACACTTCCTGCTACAGTCATCAAGGCTCATGGGAAATCTCCATGGTAACACTGACAATGTAAATCCTGTGTTTTTCCATCATTTGTGTGTGAGTGTGCGCGTGTAACATGCAACTTATCCGCTGGTGTTTATCACAGCTCATTACCACGACAACCAAAAAGTTAAATCCTCTTATGCCAATGAGCTGCATTTAGATTTACCCAAGTGCTCTTGGGAGTAGGAACCTCATTCACACACACACACACACACACACACACACACACACACACACACACACACACACACACACACACACACACACACACCAACCACACACACACATGCACAAATACACATGCTGATAGGTTACACTGAGTGTTTAGATTTATCCCAATACTCCAGGGAGATTCTAACTCATTATGCTGTGGATGTGTTGGCTGGCGAGATGCTTAAGCTGGGGCCAGTGCTGTGAGGCCACCAGAGAATTTAGTCTTGGCTCCTTCATTGCCTCTTATTTACCCAACTCAGGCAGGGACTGACTACATCTGATAGCAGTCTGGCCACCTTGTCATTTTGGAGCTGCAAAATCAGACACATCAACATGTTTTATGCATAAACACATAAACAGTCGCACAGGCAGACGGAAATACACGTACACCCACCCGCCCACGCACACACACACACACACACACATACATAAACACACAAACAGTCATTTGAATGATGAAAATGCCGACTCAGGAGAGTGGAGGTGGAGGAGATGAGATGAGTCGGCACTGTCATTGCCCATGGGCCTGTCTTATGGCTAGACACGCACAGATATTGAAGTACACACACACACATACAGAGTTTTGGCTCAGATAAGCAACAAGATGGCACCTCTCATTGAATTGATATCAATATTTGGCCAGAAAGATATTTACACTCCCCTTTAATCAGGAGGAACAGATGGCCCAGGGTCTGTGAACTGTGTCCATCCCTTTAACCGAGCACCAAGTCCTGTCAGTTTTTTAACATGCATTGAAAAATGAGAAGGCAGCAGACAGGGGAAGGAAAGACAAGCAAAGCAAAGGAAAGGAAAGGAAAGGAAAAAGAACTCTGGTTTCAGGATAGACATGTTGACCGTCCTACTGGTTCTAGCTGTGCAAGATACAAAATAACAAGTTAATGAGAAGTGAATTTTTGTAAAATAGAGTTAATTTTTTAAGAGGGTCATACATAGCTGTGCAAGATACAAAATAACAAGTAAATGACAAACAAATGACTTTTCAGACTTTTGAACAGTTAAGTTAATTTTTTAAAAGGGTCATACATTGAAGGGAGTGACAACCTCACAGCTGTAATAGTATTTAGTTGAATCCCTTGGTTATCACCATACTGTCTTACAACAGCAGTCCCAATGAATTGTGGAGTTTTTTGGCAACCACGGAGTCATTTTTCGACAGCAACCTCTCCTTTGAACGCCACGTCAACCAAATCACCAGAACTCCCTTTTTCCACCTGAAAAACATAACTGGTCTCTACCCATCACTCTCCTTTCATGATGGTGAAACTCTGGTCCACGCTTTCATCACATCCAGAATTGACTGTCCACAGTCTAATCACAAATCAAAATCCATCTTTTCAAAACTGCTTTTAATGTGTTTAGATATTGTTTCTATGAAAGTTTGTACTTTAACTTATGTGAAGTGTCTTTGAGTATCATAAAAAGAGCTTTATAAATAAAATATGTATGTATGTATGAATTATTTATTATTATTATTATTATTATTATTAT